TCTGCCAATCGAGCATTCTATAATTAATTAACCATTGCTATACATAATTCAACAATTTACCGTGGGTTAGAGCAACCATGGATGAAGTACGCCAACAATTTAATCAAGAAAAAGACCAATGGCAAGCAGCAAGAACAGAAGAAATTTCTGCACTCATGGAAACTTACTCGCAGACCCAGTAATTACTAATGACTTGTTTCAAATGATGCACACCATTGAAGAAGACTACTTATCATATTTATTATTCCTATTTTGTGCTTAGGGCATTGAACGATTTAGTTCATCATGTCAAAACTACTGCATCTTCAGTTAATTCCTTACAAGGTAAAATGAAACAACAGCAGCAATATACGTTGACAGAGCGCGAACAATCAGCTAAAGAGAAAGATGAAGAACTGAAACGTAGGAAAAACTGATGTAGTAGTACAATATAATCTAGCCTAAAAAAGGTTAGTAAGATTCATTTACTAATATGTACGCATCATTCCAAAGGCCTGCAAGAAAAACTTATCGAACAACATACTGAGATTGATCGAGAAAGACTGAATTTACAAACTCTGATTGCCAAGATGGAAACGCATTATAAGGAACAAGTTAGACAAGTGCAAGAGGTCAGTGTCTAGTTTTGTAGTATTGTACATAATACGACATTTGGTGATGCTGATTCACGCACCACTTAATTTGCGCTGTCTTAATATTGTAGGAGAAGTGGAATATATCTCAAGAAGCTATGCGACTTAAAGCAAAGATAGAAGCTTATGAAGAAGATCACAGACAAACTTCTGAACGAATAGCGAAAGAAAGAATCGATGTTGAGAAAGCAAAAGTAAAAATATTTATAATGCACTACCACATTGCAAATAAGAGTGCATTCTTAGTATCTTGTTTATTTTAAGGATGCCTTAAATAAAGAGCAAAAGGAAATATTAGCTCAATGTTATGAAGAACGTCGCTTGTTAGCTGCAGAAAGAGCAGAATTATTACGAAATCAAAATTTATCTTCATATCGTCAACAAACGGAACAAAATAAAGCACTAAAGGTCGCCAATATGCAACATATAATAACATCTACAAAGAAAATATCGTCTATTCATCTTTCGATATCGTACAACAATAGTTAATACATTATCCAATTTATTTCGATAGACTGAAGCTGATATGGAAGTTTCCATTGTTGAGTTGGCTAAGAAAAAGGCGGAAGTCGAGGCCGAACGCGCTGGTTTACAGCGGGAAAGAGAACAACTGATGAAAGAGCAAAATGCTGTAGAGCTAAACAAACAAAATGTTGAAAAATTAAAGAATAACATTACGAAAATGGAGATAGATATCAGTAAAAGAGCACAAGAAGTTGAGCACTTGAGCAAGGTTGCGGTTATATTAATTTTCTAGTGTATTTTGCTTGAAAGCGACTTAGTTATATTAGGCTTTTAGGTATAGTATCGTTCGGTGATCATGTAGTTATTTTCTTGTGAACTACTAGATCGCTATTCAAATGCGTCATGAAAGTGAGAAAGCATTGCATGAGGCACTGATGATGCAAAGTGAGCTCGAGCAAAGAGCAAATACAATAGAGGTTTGGCAGCAAAATGCGGAATCTCAGGAAAGACAATTAGCGCAGGTATTCGTCATAAGTGAAGCCTATTTAATTTTTTCCTCCCATAAAAGTAAATTCAATCTTATCTTTAACTAGGAGCGCTATGCTATAGCCCAAGAATGGAGAAGTATCGATAACCTCAAGCATGAACTTCGAAGCAGGGATCATGAGGCAACTATGCACATTATCCATGATTCTTACAGTCAACGTACGCATGAACTATTAAGAATTATAAGTGATAGGAAATTATGAAATAAGTTATATAAGTAAAAGCATTAATGAAATCGGGTACTATTTATTTACCTGATCAAAATAGGTAAGAATTCATCTCTTGTTACGCAAACAAGTGACAACAAAAAAACTAATCGACAGTTTCCAGTTATTAACATGCGTCCCAAATTGAATTCCGTTAAACAAAGTGCCAAGATTTTATCAAATGTATTTCGACAAGTAAGTTTATACAATATAATGACCTGTGCGTTGTGGATACCTATTTATTTTCATTTATAAACCATATTTATAGCTATTTGTACTATATTTGCTAGTGCTTCTAATGCTTTATTGAATCTTTTTTTTAATGTAGGACGAGGAGGTGCTAGAAGATGAGAGAAACTTCCTTAATACAATTATGGACTCGAATTTGAATGTTCATTTATAAGCTGCAATACTAATCAAAAATGTTTTGAAAGATACGATTTAATTACCTTTGGATCTTTTGCTATCAAATAGAGAACATATAGTCCAATATAAACGATCACGAAATTGAATTATCGAAAACTTATAATTAAACTATGCTTTGGATGAGTTACGATATATATTATACTTGTACAGAAAATTTTAAAGTTTTATTTATGATAGCTACAACTTCTTGATAAAGAATGTAAATAATTGCTCGATTTATAATATAGTCATACCTGAAAATTTTTTTCCTTTTATTGGAATTCATTTAAAAACGAAACATATGTATACTGTATTTATGTTGATGACCTAAAACGTAGAGCTAAAAAGCGAATTATCTAGAACATATTTTTTGCAATCATTCATGAAAGGAAATAAACCTAAGTTAATGATTGTAATGCACCGTACATGCGTTTCGATTTTAGAAATTACGATCTGATTGCAATCGCTGAAACTAAATAGTAACATTTTAAATGATGTAACGCGTCTATTGTACTACACTACAACGGTAGTTATTAAACGTTAATGTAAATAAGTTTACGACCTATTTAGCTCCAAGAATAGGTAAAATTTTTCTACAGTGTATGGCAGTAATTTCATACCGCAATTCTTTCACAATCACGTCGGCAAATATGAGAAGATGAAAATATAAAAAGAAATTACTAAGATTGACTATAATGAATGTGCATGTTTTCAATGTACGAGAACTGCGACTGGCTATCGTAGCTGAGTAATTTCATTCGTTACAATAATTTACAAGTACACTTGATATTATAAATTTTATGTTAGCTGATCATTCCTCAGTAATTTAATAAGAAGATACTAATATACTACAGTCATCAGGAAAGGCTCAGTTGTACTATATATTTAGATCTAAATTCTGGTCGTGTTGGTAATAAACCTGCTTGTCATAAACATTATCTTACGAAGTAAGAATTTTTATGATACTAAAAGGTTAGAAATACGGCAGTTGGATAACTTTGTTACTTCTAATTTATACGTATACTTACTTTTACTAGATTAATGTAAACTGGTCACTTCACAGTAATTTACCAGGTAGCCAATGAAATAAAATACCAAAATCAATCATTAAGCCATATTCTGTTGTAATGTATGACAAACCTCAGTTTGTACACTATAAACTATGGTCTATGTTGGTAATGAATCTGTTTATTCTACATTATCTGACGATCTTAAAACTATTTATGACGCGAAGTAGCTAGAATTATCATAAATGATACTAGCAATAATATAAATACATTTGATCGAAATAGCTTTGTTAGCCATTTTTCATTCAGCTTTTCAAATTTAATAGAAGTTTTGGTCAATGTTGGATACTTTGTTTTCAAGTACTGTAATCTTTTCGTAATTAGAATATACATATAAAGCTTGAACATGCCAATCCTCAATAGAATCTCGGTTTTATTTTGCGCTCATGCAGAAATAAGAAGCATTAAATTTTACTCAAAGAGGGATAGCAGTATGCATAAGATCCCGGATTGTTTTAAAAGTAAATCCGAAATCCTTAGATTTAGATCTAAGCCAATACAGTACAGTACGTACTTTCTAGTCAACTTTCACAAGTTGAAGTTACATATGGTCTAGTCAAATTGTATAGTAATGCTATAATTATATGCTATAATTATACCGAATTATGGTAAACTCCATTTCCTTTTAGAGAGGTACAAATATAGTACTTTACCTGGCTAAGTTGGCTTACAAATTAACTTATCTGGCATTTGTTAACAAATCAAATTTATAATCACTACAGATACTGAATAAGTTATTATAAGCCTTCAGTTCGATATCATTTAAAGCAGACTACAATTTCAAAGTATCATTGATGCTAGTAATCATAATTTAATTGAAATCCACCGTAAATTTATTTAGTAACCTATAACTGCTTTACAAACAGCTGCAATAAATCACAGAGGAAATAATTGGTATTAAACTTAGTTAGCGGATCGGATCCTTCGTGTAAGCATTGCAAATCAAAGACTTGTGCTAACAATAGAGTTTATTTAATCTGTTAACCTAATAAACATATTTAATAAACAAACATATTTATCACTGCAATTTTTCATAATTATTAATTATTAGGACCTTACGTAGCCAGTCACCTTATGTCATTTCACTTTTAGTAGAAGAAATCACTTCATTAAATTAATATCAGTTTAATCACTTTCTATTGAATAATTATTCATCTTCAATTTTATTATCGATAAGGCCGTTGCATCTGAACCTTATTGGCACCAAATTAATTATTGTTCGTGATAAAAATTAACTTACAAATAGTGATTATTACCTTTCAAATAAGTTAAAAAGTTCTCGTCCAGATCTTTTAAAAGACAAAATTTTAAAATATTTCGCAATTCAATAATAGATAAGTCAGTCACTCACTTTATTAACATGCGTGCCCATTCATTTCTGTGTAGATTTTATGTAATATTTTGCAAAAAATTAATTAAGATTCATTTAAGCAAGAAAAAAAAATATCGACATGAGTTTGATCATCGGTTTTGAAAACAAACAATGATATTGCTCGTCGAATCTACATACGACAAATTAGATGGAGATTGGACTATCATATAAATATGTCAAAAAGCCATCACTATAGAGCCATCCACAGATCGTGATAAGCATAAGTCAATGTGATTAAGAAAGCCTTCGATGAATGCGCATGCTTTGCAATTTCTAGCACTAATAAAAAGTATCTTCACGTTTAATATCACAATTTTCGCCCTTTCATTTCCGCTTGCATAGTTTCCGATACAAAGTTAAACGCATTCCCTTTACTAGATTTGTTTAAAAAGTCAAAGCCACGCTTAGCGTCCTACAGAGAGGTGAAGTAACGCGATAACATTAATATTTAATATAATAATATAGAAAAATTTCACCTAAAATTTTACCTTGGCGCTTGTATAAGGGGTACTAATGGTCGTCCGCTTAGACGATAAAGGATCCAAAGTTAAGCTATCCAGATCGGAACTTTTCAATAACGACTTGTGAAATGCTACTTCTGAGTTACCGTCAGAATTTCTATTGGCAGTTTCAGAGTGAGACGATATTGTATCATTAGTTGAAATAAATTCTAAAGATTCTGTTGAATTTTTTACTACAGTGGAATTTTCGATAGCTTTTGAGGAAGTTCCTGCAACTGGACTAAAATTGATTAGTGATTCCATTGATGCCTCAGCTTGTGAGGTTGTCGTCTTAGTTGGATTTACTGTATCTTTTGTGAATAAATCATCTAAAGCTTTCGTAGAAGCTTCCGAATTACATTCTACGGAGTCATTCGATGAAGTCTGTTGTATTGAGCCAAAGTCAATTAGTGGTTCCGAGGTCGTTTTAGAATTTATATCATTAATGTCACTTGATGGCTTAGAAAGAAACATCCCAATAAATAGACCGTCAGAAGTACCTTTACTAATGGCATCAGAAGTCTCAGTAACTTTCACTTGCAATGATTCATCAGTAGTAGAGATTAAATTCGCTTCATCCTGATTTTCTAATGTTGATACGGATTGTATTCTTTCAGCAATATTGGGCTTTCGCTGAGATTCTTGGATTAATGCCTCAACCTAAACAAAGACATCACACAATTATAGCAAAATAGATGCATAATTTATTCTATATTGCAGTTAAGTACTCACTTTCGATACTCTGCTACGAAGACCAACATTACTTGAGGTCGATAACAGTTCTATTTGATTACTCAATAACTGAATGTCTCCAAGTGACCAAAAATCGCTTTTTTTCAATGCCCTTTCAATCACACATAAAGCTTTCTATTGTGGGATTTGATGAAACAGTAAACATTAATATTTTTCAAGTCTAAAATAAATAAAATTTATAGATTAATAATATATAATATAGCAACATATTAATCGCACTGACTTGTTGAATACCGACAGGTTCCTTTAGCTTTTCACATAGTAATAAAAGAATTCTGTGATGATCAAGATAATTGCACCTAACGAATGCAAGATACGGGCTTCAGTGCTGAGACTCTTAAAGCTATTATTAAAGCAATAGACTTAGTCAACCTTTTCATAAAACTGTCTAGCATTGCAGTGGTTGGCGCAGACCGAACACCAACAGGAACAGTGATATCATCAACAAGCGCTTTTTCATAGTTTATTGCGTCGCCCGTTTGGCTATTGATATCACCGCATAGACTAACATTAGCATTCTCCAAATTTTTCGTCCTTGCAGGCAATGGTTTAGGTAAAGTAGTTGACTGTGGATTCATGAATTGTCTTGCAGTGTCACTTTCATAAGAAATAGAACAAAGACGACAATATTGAGCAATATCTCATAACTAGAGATTATACGTACATTTAGCATTTAGAGTCTATAAACAATAGCATATTCAAGTTCATGGTACCCTTTTTTAATTAGGTCAATTTTTGTCGCGTGATCATCCCAACCTCCACCAGGTCTGCCAGTAACCCGATCTAACATCAACATGATATTATAAATCGATACTTGTACGAGCAATGGTAATTATAGTTATTCATGCCCATAATTTAATAAGGGTAGCTGTAATTGGCAAATAGCTCAAGTTGCAACTGACAATGGATGCATCGTCCTTTAAAATGCTGCAGAAAACTTAGTTAGTTAAGTAAGGTTACCAGCAACGGTTTCAGAATGAAAATTCCGAACAGGCAATGGTTGTTCCTCCTCTAACTTATCAGGTTTAGAATTGATGGCAAAGCTCGATTGAGGACTAGGTTTTGATGAGTCGTCACCAACTTGTTTGGCTAGCACAGGATTACAAATATCAAAGTACGCTCTACATTGTGCCACTGCTGTAAAATGTCTCTAAGAACATTTATTACCGGAGCTAGTATTCTTAAATTTACCTTTCAGGTGTTTTTCTTTATCAGAAACATCAAAGAGAATACGAATATTTTCCTACATATCAAGGCCATATTAATGTTAAAATTGAATTGGATAGCAGCACTCTTCATTACGACATGACTTCAAACTCTACCATTGAATTATAGATTTGTTCGTATCTATATGATCATACATTAGCTAACTGTCTGACTTGTTCGTAAGGAGCATTGCCATGGAGAGGATCTGGAGATCCGCTAAACGCTATGAAACAGTGATTCGAACATTCATGTTGGACATGAGTATCATATGTCATTGACGTAAGTAGCATTGTACTCACTGGTGGTTTTTCTAATAATGTCACTCCTTTTCCTTAAATTAGTTAAGAATTCTCCATTTCCGTTCACCAAAAGATGACGAATTAATCTTAAAACCTTTGATATTTTTTGCAACAAGATGATACTTTGTCATATTTATTGCGATACTTTCTGTAGAAGATTTGAATAGCATTGGCGTTATGATAAAGTAGATAAAATGACTCTTTACTGACCTTAAGTTTGATATGATAAGAAGACTTCATCAATCTGTCCATTAAGAAATCTAAAAGATATTTACATGTATTGCTAGATTCAAAGGACATTTCTAGTTTTAACAATATTTCAGGCAATGAAGTTAGGGTAAAATATAATTGAAAAGTTGAGGGAAAATGCTTGATACTTTAAATAGTATGTTTTAAATGGTGTTCACAAGTATTTTGCTGAAAGACAGTCACCTAACAGTGATGATCAGTAGTCTATCTCTAACATTAAAGCAACTACCATACTGTAAGTGATTCTTATTCGGCATGAAAGCTGCATTCTATACGTATAAGAATTGATTTTTTGGGGATTATTCATATCAACACTCTCCAACTTGGATAGGCTAGGCAATAAATTATGACTGTTGTCAGAAAATTATCATCGCTTTGAGTCAAAGGATACTAGTAATTTCTTCGAATAAATAACCAGGTGTAGCCGTTGCATCATCCGACGTCGCTTTCATTAAAGTCGGCATCTATACAGTAGGATAATAATATTACTGTAAGTTAATCATCCAATCGGTGAAAAAATGAATTGCTCACTCATCCTGATATTGGAAAATCCATTGCAAGGAATGAGGACTACAATGCTACTACTGTTCTACTGGCAATAATGCTCCTTCATCTCCATTGCCTCTACTGTACACTCCTATAGTAAGTCATCCATCGCATGACCAATCTCATCGTCAATATTACCTTACTCGTAAAGGAAATCTTGTCGAAAAGGTTCGTGAACGTAATACTAGACGACATTTTTCTTTGGTATTCGTCAATTCCTGTCCAATGACTATCAATCCAAGAATAAATTCATTTGAAGATGGCGATAGGAATACCTGGTTGCTTTTCTAGCGCCGATTTCGTTTGAATCATCCAAGTAGGCTTGGAGATCAACAACAGCAGTCTGGCTTACAGTACTGTACACTGTAAATTACGTATTGTACATTGTAAAGTACGTATTGTAGACTGTAGACGTCCAGTACTGTACAATTAGTGTACATCATACTGTACGTCGTACGACGTCCGTATGTCCGTCGTACAGTACCAAAAATAATTGAATATTGATAATAATAATAATAATAATAATGATAATAACTGTATTGGTCTACAGTACAGTATATCTCTCCCTCTCGAACTCTTACTTCTTTCTTAAATACTGTACTCTCTGGTACTTATGCTGCAACTCATACTATATTCTTGACTGTTCTCATCAGAAAGCCTGTTCACTTATCTTCTTTCCAAAAAATGCTTTTTTTTTGGAGCGTTAGGTCGCTAGAGGGTTGAACTTTTTATGCATGTTGATGCAAGCACAGTCAGCCGTGTACTGTACTGTGTACTGTATTGCACAATGTACAGTGTACAGTACTAAGGCTTCCCTGTACTGTAGGAGTTGGGAATCCATGCGACCGTACCTTACTGTACAATGTCTCTATCAATTCTAAATTTCTATACTATTCCACCACCGACTGTGCGATAGACGTAGACCAACTTTCAACACGTTGATGAACAGCTTTTTGCAGAAAGTCGGAGGGCGTTGAGGTAGTACCTACTGTGGGAACTCCACTTGCAGAACTGCGATTATTGCTCATCCTTTTGCGCTGTGCTGCTCTCAACTTAAATATGCAACAGGAAAAGCTTCTTCCGTGCGCAGCCTTGCAGAGACGCAAAGCATGAACTGTTTTGTGGCAAAACTGAAAACAGAATTGGTGGTTCTATACTGTTTAGTACGTTGACATTTCGTTGCAAGCATACAATCAAAAAGTCGACGCGTACGTCGTAGGCTGGAAATTGGCATACCTCAACGAGCAAAAATCAAACGACTATCTTTATTATACTACAACTATTTCAACAGCAGTCAGCAGACTTGCCAAGGTTGTGCAGCATCGCAAAGTGTGACTCTTCCACTAAAGTCATTACAGTACTTGTTTCTACCAATAATTAATCAATCATACGCTAAGGCACGAAAGGCAGAGTTATGACGGTAAATCAACCCAAGTCAAGATTTGAGCAAGGTTGGCAGCGCGTTAAAGAAATGTGGGATGAAAATGAACCTGCTCTAGAAGTCGAATATTTACCAACCATAGCTTTTTCAAGTTCCTTTACTGCTTTCATACTTGCTGGATTAGTAGGAGCACAGCAAACGGCTGAAAATTTTAGAGCAAATAGTAAATTTAGGATGTTTCCCAGTAAAGTGCAGGCTCTGCGTGAGATGCATTCTCATGCTTTGCTGGGATTTGTGCGAAGTGGAAGTAAAGCTGGTTGGCGAGCTTGTATTTTTGCAGTTACTTTTACTTTATTATCGGGAAGTCTGAATGCTTATTTCAATAAAATTCATGTATTAAATTATACTGCTGCTGGCTCTTTTACGGGCGCATTGCTCAAACTTAGGCAAGGACCTCGTGGCATAGTTGTAGGGCTTTTTGCAGGTTCAGTAATAAGTTTGCCAGTTGGATTATGTGCACAAGGCTTACATTCTGTGTTACCCCAAAGTTATTACGATTCTTTAAAGGAAGATAAGCTAAAACGAAAGAAAGAACGGGAAGAAGATTGGCAGTCGCGACTGTCTGCCCTCAGTCGAATGATTGACTCTATGAAATCCGATCCATTATTGGATGATAATGCATCGGATGCGAGCAATGAGACGAACAGCCAAGAGGCAGAAACACTTCCTACCATCAAAGATCAAAGTGACAAGTCAAAGAAGGAATAACTGGATTTGCATGCAGCTGTAGCTCGACGATACAAGTGTCGAGCACGCGTTATTCGAAGATCAAGATTCGTCTAATATGGATTACTAAGTTATTATGTATTACAAGTATTCTTGGCCAATGTTAGCAAGTTGAATATCGCACGATACGGATTTTAGATTATCAAGTCACCATGGCTAACCATAATATAATATATCATACTTGTATAGCTGGCCTCCTCCAATTGAAACCAATTATTGAGAAAGCTCTTGGCAAGATTTCGTATCAACAAAGACAAAAGTGAGATGATTCTTGCATAATTCTATCATTTGAATTTTATTTTATCACAAGTTGATTAGAAATGGAAATTTTAAACTTGGCCTTGTTTCGCTGATACAGTATACGGTACTGGCAAAATTTTCTGATGTAATACTCTTTAATGAATGGATATTATTAATGTGCATGTATATAACATAGCATACAGTACGTATACATACTCGTACTTATACCGACTGAAAATTGTCTACTTTTATGAATATTTTACCATGTTCAACTACTGCAGTATTCAACAAATGCTCAATAATGGTTCGTTTTTTATGAGTACGTGTATATCAACCTTTCAAAATTCAGTAAAAGAAACTGCTGATAATCCTATATCAAGGCTACGAAATGATAACTGACAGACTAATTACTGTGCCATAGCATGAATTGTGCGTATGCAACATGAGCTGTCTGCCGATTCATCAAATGAATTAAAGTGATCATATCACAGAGGTGAGATTACGAAGCGCTCGTCTCTACGCATATTTAAAGTCAAAACGATACACTGAGGAGTGGAATGCTATAAATCATATCAAATCCTTAACATTTTCCACCTAAAAACGCAGTTTTGGATTTGATTGCAGTACAGGACAGTGTTAACCTTATGCCAACAACTATCTGATCGACCAATATTGCGTATTGCAGATTGCATGGATATTACAGTACTGTACTTGTCTAACCCGCAATTCCACCATGCTTTGGCCTCAAGAACCCTAGCTAGTAGCTAATGCATATAAAGTTAACTGTTTCAGAATTGTCCTAAAATGGCCACTTGACATCAACAGCTTGTATTAAGAGAGCCTGCTGCGTGTCATAGACTACTTTGAGTTTCTAGTTCTCTGCTAGTAGTTGTTTCAATAGTCCATGTTTGTCATCATCCAATGACGCCAACCTTGGCGAGTACAGTAAATCATATCAATGTGTAGAATTAGCGAGTAATCAGCATGATTCGATTGAATTAGCTACTGTACTGCACAAAGATAGACTAGTAGAAAAAATCATGGTTTCCATCTCGTAGTCCATGGTACAATATCCATTTGCGTTGTATAAATATCAATGATAGTTATGCTTAGCCGTGTACACTGTACAGTAGAGACCCTTAGTCTGTAAGGGCATCTACTGTAGTGTACAGTAATTCGAGTCAACGTTTACATACAGTAATGTAATTGTATTACAAGCATTCTTTTAAAGTTGACGAGGTGAAAAATATCGACTACCTGAAAGGAAGACTTCCTCTCTAGTAGTCCTTGCCTCGACTTGAGTATAGTATGCCTAATCTTGAAAGTGAATAGCGAATACGAGTACTATCTAATGTGATCTTGCATGGTACATTACTACCGCTGACTAGCGATGTTGATATGAAGGCCGGCTATTCTTGCTGGCCATTTGATTTTCAACGTTACATCTACATTGTCCATCGTACAATACTCTACAGAGGCTTCAAATTGGCTGGCAGATTGATTTCGCACAATATGGCGTAAGTTATTGCTGTAGCGTCTAGCAAGATGGCCACAAAATTAGTAGCTCGACGGTAAATTGTTGTCAGCTCCGTGTCCTTGTTGAAAGTACAGTAGAGTACAGTACGATCTGAATAATTTCTATAGCACCCTGAAAAAATAAAATAGTGTTCGTTCAATGAAGCCAAAACTACGGTTATATATTAATATTATACAGGAATTTCAACGGAATACAACTCTGATTTTTGAATAACGAAAGGGTACTATCGAAAATAAAATAAAATAAAATAATATAATTAACCCTTGCATGATCAGATGGTGCTGTATACTACATTGTACAATATCTGTCCGTCTCTCTCTTTCAGCAGTCCCGAACTGTACAGTACTGTGCAGTGTACACTGTACACTGTACACTGTAAAGTACAGTACAGTCTGCATCGCGCCGATGCGATGAAGTTTGATCCTGCCACCTGCGCCGGTGCAGTAAAATTTTCTTCTAGTCCCTGACAGGACGGTACAGACTAGAGACCAGCATATTCGATCCTGCCACCTGCGCCGGTGCAGTAAAGTTTTCTTGTAGTCCCTACATCACAGCATAGTCCATCCTGCCACTTGCGCCGGTGCAGTAAAGTTTCTTGTCGTCACTACAGCACAGCATATTCGATCCTGCCACCTGCGCCGGTGCAGTGAAGTTTCTTGTAGTCGCTGACAGGACAGTACTGTAGTCTGTGTGTTGTGAAGTTTCTTGTACAGTGTACAGTACATTTTGGAAGTATGGACTGTACTGCACTGGAATCGATGCAAGTGTGCGCGTCGCTATCACATACTTTTCTATTGCCTCGAACGCCTGTTTCAGCACATATACTATAATCTTCCTCAACGCGATTGCGCAGTTTTTTTTTACGGTACTCTACTTGACTGTGGTCTGAGCCTGACGAAACAGTACGACATTTTTTCCTTAGGCAATATGGCGTCTAAAGCACGACGAGTTTTTGACTGGGCTAAGATAGCCGAAAATTTACCTACTGCGATCCGAGCGGAAATGAATGCTTTTCGATCACGCAATGAAAGCATCAAAGCAACGTATGTACAGAGAAATAATTCGTTTTGAAAGTGAATAGACACCATGCGTGCCATCATCATGTTTCTTCACCTCTAGTTGAAAAATGGTTGACTAGCGTGCTTGCTTTCAAACCCAGTGTTCTCTTCAGGATAATCTTTTCTATTAAAAGTACTCGTTTGAAATAGGATAATAATGTTGATTGCGTTTATTAAGAAGAAATAGTATCTTTTGATGAGTCATTAGGATGAGATGGCATGATATTGGCTTAAGACAGTAGTCATATTGGGTGCTTTGAAACCTCCATTAACATGGCCGGTATTACTTGAATCTATTTGTTAACAGGCTATCTGCAGTACCAGAAAAGCGCCAAAATATCGATTGGCAACACTACAAGAATAATATTGCCGCTTCTGGTTATGTAGAAAAGTTCATGAAAGGGGTAAATGCGCTATCAATAATAACCAAATCACTACTCTAACATCCAATTGTCATTCATTTTGCGATCGCATGACACTCTCCACTAGCTTACCAGACAATTTTGTAATGAAATAGTTGGTTGTCTATTTTCAATGCGAACAACATCATCACATACTATATGTACAGCACTATAGAATTCAATCAACATTCGGCTTATTCATTCATCATCTTTCTATTATAGTACGAAGCTGTACAAGTTCCTTTTCCTAAAGATACTGATACTGCTAGAATTGACGCTATGCAGAAGCAAATGGTAGGACAGGATCGATACTGCACAAATTATTACTGTTGTCAAGAGGCCTAATAGCTTAGTCAACCAATGGCAATCATAACTGTGTAATTAGTGACTAGTGGATCTTTTTTGAATCAGGTGTAATACTCCTTTTTATGTGTAATAGGAAAGTGAAATTGAAGGAATCGTTAAAGAATCAAAGCAAGCTGCACTCAGATTAGATAGTGAGGTAATGTATCAGTGGATAGGATATGCTAGCATGTGATAGCTCGATAATAGCAGTATTAATAAAAGTTTCTTGGGCATCTCATCACGCTTGCAATCAAGAAACGGTAGAGAATTACTTGCATCATTGGAGCGATTGCAGATTTGATGCGTAGCAACGTAATTTCAGATTGTAATCCCTCACGATCGAGTAATCTATATTTTATATCTTTACTTACAGTTGTCCAAGATCAAGGCTGAAAAGTCATATGAAGAAACTACGGTTAGTTATAAATTAAACTTAAAACTATTATACCAGATAATAGGATGCTACAGATGAAACATTTACATAATGATGCCTTGCCATGATTTTATTTTACAATATTCAAATTATACTGCAACATGTTGATAAATAAATATAATGTTATAAACACATTTTTACTCGTCTTTACGCAATTATAGATTGATGAATACCTCGCAAATCATCCACAGTTAAGGAGGCAGTGTGAAGAAGATTTAAAAAATTTCAAATATGATTAAATCGATTGATAACTAGCTGGCTTCGCTTCAAATGTTTTTGTGTATTGAGAATTTATAACTTAGGCAACTTTTTAAATGGAATATCGAGGACGCTTCATCTATTTGAATAACTAAATAAAATAAAATAATTGCATAACATCGTAACAGAGGATACATTTCTACGAAAAGCAGTTCTTAATATCTTCACTGTTTCACTAACACCGTCAGATAGCGCTGACGGATTACAATTAAAAAAGAGATTATCATCCTGTATATACGGGCTTTACATTTGATCTGGTTTCAGACGAAATTTTTAATTTTTATAACTTGATTTAGTCGACTGCAGCAATGATAGAGTAAATTGCGTAATGCCAATTCAAATCCTGGAATTGCACTAGCATATAACAATGGATTCAAACTACATCTACTGATGCCAATTAGCTGACAAATTAGAAATTGACTTTGATACTTTAGATAGCATGAATCATGATATAAGCGTGGATTGAAATGTACAATTAAGTAATAAATACGCCCTGGTGAAGACATGACAAAAAATACAATCACAAGAATTAGCAGCTTTCTGATCAATTTTTTTTGTGCTTCAGCAAAAGTAGTGTAAGTTATGGATTTCTTAATGATAATTCGGCTTTGAAGATTACGCATTATTTTGGAATATATGGTAACTACCACAATAAGAGGCAGGACATATATCATTACATATCGAGTTACAAAATAAATTTGCGCCAATTCTATGGAAAAAAAGGGTTGATTATTACTATCGAAGTGTAAAAAACATATTGATGACATTTTGCAAGTCCTATTTCGTATTTTCATAAGTTGAATAGTTCTATGCGCAAATACAGTATACGTTATAACAGGAGAAGAATAACCCAACGCTACCAGAAGTATAAATACTAATATTAGACATTTACGCCGCTCTTTTGAATTTGGATTGACATTTTTTAACAGAACCCAATAGCGATCAAGTGCAATCATCACCATTGTGACCGCAGTGCCAGTATTGAGTAAGATAGGGAAGCTACTGCAAAAGTAGCATAAAGGTCGACCAGATAACATAGGGGTTAATGATGCGGTCAATTCAATTGGCCAAGAAAATAAAAGCAATAAAATATCGTACAGTGCCAGGTTACCGATTAAACGGTAGACAAGATCTGAGGTTCCATATTTCCTCTTCTTGATGATGATCAATAAAACAGTGATATTTCCTATTAAACCTGTAAAGAATATGATTGCTGCAGAAACAATTATTGATACATTTAATGCAGATTTACTATCGGGACAGGTTGATGTTACGGGCATCTCGGTATTCATTTTTTCCAATGTTTGTAGTAGATTACTCGATCTGTGTTGCTTGGATTAACTCCTTTATACTTTATTATCCATGAAGTACAACTTACCAGTACCTTCTATAATTGTCTACTATAACAATGATGGATGATGTTGAGCAAGGGTTGATTTTATGGGCAGGTGCAGCTGTAGTTATTAATTTACGATCAATCAGGGTTTTATATATTCTAAAATTAAGCTAGTGAATAACAATTAATCCATACTTGTACGATCCTTATTGTTATTTATAGAATTGCTAAAGGAACCAGCTAATTGACGTCCTAACTAGAAATTTTATGCCCTATTCTGCAATGGTAATTAATGCTTAAATTAATTATTGTAAGGGGTTAATTAATAGAAGAAAGTCAAGCCGCTGGTATCATATTCAACTAATTGAAATAAAATATGATCGAAATTATCATTGCTGAGAACCGATAATAATATATAATTAATTAGAATACTCGTATCATCGACAATTAAAATTACGCGTATTTAAGTCAACTGGGAAGACTATGGCTTCTACTTGTTTTTGCTACTTTTCAAGATGGTACTCATACAATAATTGTATTACTGTACAATAACGATGCATTAACAGTATCAATAAAAATAAAACTTTCCATCGAAAATAAAAGACCTATTGTGATTAAACCTATGCTTATAAATAAATATATTTACCGTAATCATTACAAAGCACTAAATGCGTTCAACTTTGACCAATTCTATTAGTTTCTAAGTAACTTATTTATCACAATAGAAGAATACTAAAAAGGTTCAAAGAAGAGAGTTCAAAGGGAAATTCACGTCAAGTACTTTTCCTTTGCAAATAATAATCATAGAGCTGAATAATCGAATCTCCAAAGTACACGCTAATCAGTCGAATGCACGCATACTTAAAGAAAATTAGACACTTTCCTATGGTCTATCAATTAACGTTGAAATTTTATCATAGTTATAAAGTTAAGAATAGACAACCAAAAAGATTTTCCCATAAATTTTAAAGGTCGTTATTACGTATAAATATTTCGAGAACGATATCATAACTCATCAACAGAAACAACAAAATGAGTCACAGATGTATTATAAGGTTATTAGAGGCTACTTAAGTCAAAGAAATAGATATCCCTAACTAGGATAATTATAATTATAATAGATAATGCTTGTTTAGTATATAATAAAAAGGCACTAATCTTAGCTGCATCCCTTTTCTGCAGTAATGTGGACGTCAGTAATCGATACTTTTATTCCGCCTTTGACTTTATCATTTAATCAGCACTGGTAATATACGGAAAAGTAGCTCAATGGGCTATTTCATCATCGCCTAAAGGAGACATGTCACAGAGGCTATCGTATCTGTACATGATTTAAACACATTTACTATTTAAAAATATCTATGATTCTACAGTAAATTCACTTATATGCAAAACAAATGGTTATAAAAATTGTTTGATAATTATTCGGTAATTATTTTGAACAGAATTTTGTTTATTACTTCGATTGAGGAATAAGAAAATTGTAAGGGTAAGCCGTATGGAATTAATTATGAGTTCAATCAATCTTTAGATTACTGTATATTTGATAGATATAATAACCAAAAGATACCTTTTACTCGTACTGAATAAGTGAAGCAATTCCAGTTATTTAGACATTTAATGTTTTCTTGTTGAAACCAACTAAGCCACTTGCTGATAACTAATTAGAGAATAGAAACAGATTACTTTATTGAGCCAATATAATGCTATATTACAGGCGATAAAGACACTTACGTTGATATCTGAACCAGAAATAATGTGATATTAATTAAAATTACATAATACTGCTATTAATTTATACTACAACATTGCACTGCCACAATCAAATAACGAGATTAGTGGCATGTATTTAATACTAAGAAAGAATAGCAGAGGATAACAAATTTTACATAAATTGCTTAGAAAAATAAATAGAATAGAAATATAACATGTCTGGACCAAAAGATAACATCTTATGTGGTATTAAATTAAATTTATTAATACGCTCTATTGGACAATTTCTAAAATGAGGATATTTTTTAAAGTAGGACATTCAGCATATCATAACATGCTTTACGACATCTTTTTAGCCTTATAATTTAGCGTAAAGACCTACATTACTTCAATAGATTATTTAATGGCAACTAGATATGACTATTTCTTCAGTAGCTTAAGAAGAAGTACAGCGGCTTAACTGAAAGTAAACTCTGCCATGGAAACAATTCAATTCGGCTAAATAAGAGTAGGTAAAATTAAACTGTACTTACTAAATTGATCTCTAAATGTAAGTCAGCCTTAGCAGGGGATTCTTCTACCTTATTAGCTAAATGAGTTAGCTTTAATTTCGTACAAGGCTCAACAATTTGATCATTTCTATTTTTAATACCAAAATAAAGGCATTTTGGCTTATAATCCCAGCCATACATAGCAATCATCACCTGTCTACATTCTGGAATAGAAGCTGAGTATATAAAAGGATTGACAGCACTTCTGCTAATCAACAATAATTGGCATATTAGGAATAGAAATGAATTAATTGCATGTGTCTGGATATTAAAAAAAGATGGACTATTTATCATAACATAATAATAAATATGTTCTGGAGTCAAGGAAAGAAAATATATGACGATTAATATTGAAGGCAATTTAATCAATTTACGGTCTTCCTCAATGTTATATCCAATTGTGGTATTATCTTTCGTAGGCAATAATTCACCTGTTTTGAAAGTACTTAATTTATACATCAATATCACAATCGAAAGAGGGATAACGCATAAGATATTGTATCTTAATAGAAAATAAATTTGCCACGGAGCTGAAGTTGAATAATTATGACTGCCATATTCGATCCAGCACTTAGCATTTACTTTAAACTTTGATGATCCCAACATGAGAGCGCTTGTTTTGTCTTCTGAGGTAAATGCTATGTCTGGACAAGCGAGAGCTAAAGCTAAAATAAAAATAACTCCTAGCTTGGAAATGTTACGCCAACATGAAGAATTTGATTTCGCTGAATTTATAGCCACATGATAGCGATCAAAAGCCATCCAAATTATCGTTAAGGCAGCCTGAGCACTAAATAGAATTGGAAAGCTATTGCTAATGTAGCATAAAATAGTGCCAAAAGGCCAAGAGAGAGCAAATTTGACCAGTTGTATGGGCCAGTAAAATAAAAGTAGGCATATATCACACAAGGCCAGATTTCCAATAAAGTAGTAAACGGAATCTCTCATTTTGGTTTTTCTGTGTTTAATAACGAGGAATAACGTGATCATATTCCCTATCAACCCAAAGACTATAATGAAAAGAGGAAAGACATACACTATCCATTGCATTACAATTGACCAGCCATGATAACCTTGTAAACTAGGCCATAAATGATCATTTTGATAAGCATGATAGTAATTAATCATACTGATAATGGATTTGTAAAGAGCCTTTATGAAAGAGTATCAAATTAAAATTGATCGACGAAAAAGAAAGATTCCAATAAAAACGGAGCTATAACCGTTAGTTTCTTATCTTTATATTTGTGCTGTCGATAAGATATCACTATAACTTGACTACTTGAAAATAAAATAATCCTAGAAATTCATAAACATTGATATACTAGCATTCATTTCTAAGCGTAAATGGGCGTTTAGCTCTCATTGTAAGTAAGAAGATCAATTATATCCATTCTCATTGTAAGCAAGAAAATCAACTATATCAATTCTCTATTTATTGTCTGTTCACCAAAAGAAACCAATTCCTGCTCTATATATCGTATAAGATGCTTTGATACATAGCTAAAAGAGACGTTTTAGCCCTCATTGAGAGCAAGAAGATCAGTTACATCCATTCTCATTGCAAGCAAGATCGGTTATATCCATTCTTTATTTATTGTCTGTTCACCAAAATAAAACCAACTTTTGCTTTGTACGTCATATAGGATACTTTGATAAATAGAACAAATATAGAAAGTAAAAAATGGTTGACTTTAATTTAAAGACAATAATACCAACAATTATCTGACAACTAATTGTAATCAATTCCTGAGGAAGTAGGAAACTTCTATGCAACAATAAATTGCCTCTTAAATTACCCTACTAAGCTGTCTTGCATTTCATGATGGTATTAATGCTAGAGATATGAAAGTTTTAAATCTATAGTCATTTACTGTAAATGATTAGGCGTGATCAGGGAACAAAGATCTTAGTAGTGCCAACCATTTACAGAACCTATCTTTAATTTCAGTTTAAAGATTCTATCAATTCTTTTTTCTTGACCTATACAGGCATGTACACCTGCTAATATGCTCATTTCTTCTTGTTCAGAACTTAACCTTCCTCGTAAAATTCTTTACATCAATAAACTAAACTTTATTCATTGCAGCTGCTACAGTAAATAAAGAGTATATATGATTCATCGTAAGCAGTTTCTTACGTAATGCCAAGACAATCATTTATTGCAGTTCGACTTTTTCTACAAGACACGTACTATAATACATGACAAATACGATGTAGAACATTGCTCATACTTTAGCAAGGATATAGGTAGATAAAATAGCCACAAAACCAAATACAACTTCTATACACTTATAATTACAAATATTCGCTATAGCTTCCTTAGACTTTCATGTAATCTTCCATTAACGTTTTTCTTCCTTGAAAGTATACCGCTTAGAAAGTAAGCTATCACTAAATGATTTTTAAATTTTGCTATTATTCCATACCTCATGATCTATTTTTTTATCATCTGTTTTGAAATCTCTAGTACATTTCATGCTCAGACTTTATGATTATTTTTTTCGATTGTCGAATATTGCTAGCAAACGGCTTCGCAAAATAAGTATACACAATCTACGTAAGTACCGAATTGAACTAGACATGTAGTCAATGAAGTAAACCATAACTAATTTAGCCAATGTTACCAACTAATCCACTTTCAGTCCAGGCTGAATTTATAATACACATCAAGGACTTTTCGTTGCTGTTATAAAAACTCATCAACGCGGCCTTACTTACCAATTTTACTAATTTTTATTTTATTCATATTGACGCATTCATGATAAACTTATATGATCATACCATTGACCAATTCTAATTACGGGTAATAGTAAAACATCGAAGATAAGGAAATATGTAATAATCTGATTAAAATACGCTAGAACCTTCAACTTGAGATAAATTTACGCAAAGTCCTGTATAAAGTATACGAGTGTGCTGCTATTTTGTCGTAGAAGATTTACTATTCTGCTTTGTATATCACATTCATCACCTGAGTAGTGTTAACAAAAGTACTTTGAAATAGTCCGCAAAGGCAACTTAGTCTTGCTCTCCTATATTGCAGTTAGTTACGTATGTACAGACAGATTCTCGAATCTAGTGGATATTATACTCCGTTACTCATATTTAACCATCTTTAATCTACTACTTCACATACCAGTTACATAATATAGTAAGGATAGAATACTACAACCATGAATTGGAGAAATCGCCCTATCCTAAGTTAGATTTCATTATCGGTTGAATACCTTGAACTTAGCTAAATTTTGTTTTCTGATAAAGATAAATTGATCATATCGGGCTGATCGCTTTTCCGTTTGATATATGAACAGGTAAAAATAGATCGCAACGATTGCTTACACTCTGGAAAAAAGTGAGCATAGATAACGGGATTTGCGATGCATTTACTAACAGTAATAAGCTGACAAATCAAGTAGGTAATCTGGTAACGGCGATAATAGCCTAAGCGATATCGAAGGTATCCAAAATTATAGACAAAATAGAAAATGTATTCCGGAGTCCAAAAGAGTAGCAATGTAATCATTAGAATTAATGTCATTTTTGCCCATTTTTTGTGTATCGTTATATCACCATAGGTAACTGTTATTGCAGAATTTGTAGCTGTATCGTCAATCTTGATATTTCTTTTAATTTGATAATAAAGTATTACTACGATGATCAAAGGGATAACATAAAGTGTTACGTAGAGAGAGATACAATAAATATGGTATGGATCTTGAAAATTACTATAATGGCGACCGATATAGACGAAGCAAACACGAACAGCATCATCATAATACGCTACTGGCCCGATAAATAAGCCATAGGCATATGTATAAGCTGTGAAAAGGAGGTCGGGAAAAGTGGCAGCTAGTGCTGTAAAAAAGATGGCTGCTAAAATAATTCTTTTACATGTTGTAGAAGGACTTGGATTAGCTGATTTGACAATAACTCGATATTGATGGATAGCCATAGCAACAACAGTTAGAGATGGACCGGCATTGCATAGGACAGGTAAGAGATTGAAAAAATAGCAAAGAAACGATCCAAACGGCCACGGAATCGATTTTCGGACTAATGCTAACGGCCAGTAGAGTACAAGTAATACGATATCATAAATGACCAAACTAGTAACCAAGTAAAAAAAGAGATCTCGGACGTTATGTAATCCTTTCTTGATTAACGAAACTAAGATAGTGATATTTGTTATAATACCCAAAGATAAAATGATTGCTGATGGAATATAAGCCACAAGCTGCATGGCTAAAGGTGAAATATCTTTAAAATCATCTGTAATGGGATTTCGCTCGCTGTTGTTCATATTTTGATTAGTCTTTGCAATATCCAAACGTGGAAATATCAATTATGCAATAACTTATTTAAAACACCAATCAAATATGCTAATGGCAGGATGAAGGACGTAAGAAACAATTATTTTACGAGTGTGAGTAAGTAACTTGGATATTTGTTAAGCTTTCCTCAGATATTTTCGTATGTTCGCAGTCCAGCAAAAGCAAATTCAATTTTCTGTCCCTTAGAGAAGATAAAATTCTACTTTCAAGAATATCAACATCGTAGTTGTAACGATTGCATCAAGAGGTGTTTTAAACCCAGATAAGAGTTAATTAAATATTAGCCCTAATCTAGACAACCAATTTTATATTGATGATTTCCAACAAAGAATACGATTTAGGCCTCGGATAAATATTGTAGATCATCGTACCTTAATTATACCTGAAACGAAATAAAAGCAATGCGGAAGTAATAAAGGATTCGACGCCAAGAAATTAGCATGACAATCTTTTTCAGCGACAACAAAGGCTCGGATTTTTTCAGGATTTATGTCAATAAATAGTACTTATTACCATTAAGTTCTTTGCATATGAGAAAAAATCAGCTAGATATAAATTAGAAGGCAATTTACAAAATTATTTTTACAAAGATACCGGTTTAATTTGGTAGTTTAGCGACTTAGTCCTTAACGTTGTATTGCAGAATCTTGAATTTTAAGAAAACACGATCATCACAATATTTTATAATTGTTTGGATTCTCACACGGCTAGAGATTTTTTCCTTACAAGAATAAGCAGGATCGTTTATATAGAATCTGTTAAACAAAATAGGTCATACTAGCATGAGGGATAAGACTTAGTGCTTAATAGTCTAATAATTCGTGATCGTAACCAACGAAAAAATCGAACCAAATTAACCAAATTCGGCCTAAAAAACTTATGAGATCCTAATCGTATTTCGATATTTTAGCGATAGTAGTAAAAGTATGTTATACATATGAAGATGTCCCCATAATTATCTATTACTTTTTGTAGCAGCACTACAGAAAACTCGGATTTAAATAGCTAAACTATTTTTCAAAATTCGGTCTAAAAATTGTGGAATCCTACATTTCCATCTTTTATCGATATTGTTACAAGTCCATAAGCACAGGAAGATATAGTGAGAATCCGCTATTTTTTATAACAATACTACAGAAAACGTGGATTTAGATAGCTAAATTATCTATAGAATAAAAGCAATGCTTACCGAAAGTTATTGCACAACCCGTAATTTCTTTAATTATTCTCTGACTTTAGCTTACTCTAGTTTTCATAACAGTTCACCATTTCTCAAACAGAAAATAGACTATTCTTAAAGGATCCATTCAGCGATAATTACTCTTTATTGTGAATGAAGTTCGTAATTCGCCAACACAAAACTTGAGTTATTACGATAGTGCAAATCACTATGGCGATACATCATAACCTACACCTTAATTACCTTTGAAAACACTCGAACAGCAGTTCTATACAACTTTTCTAAAACACAATCAAATACTCCTCTACAATATTCTATTCAGCAGTTTGAAATCAGGGTAGGAAACTACTCACAAATACAATTTTATATTGTCACCAGCTACTGACTTTTCCGTACTTAGTATAAACAGAACAGGTGCACCATTTAATTACGCCAGCCATAGTCTACAAATTAATTTATCAAGCACAAACGACTATTCTTTCTCATATAGAGCTTTACTTATATTACTGTCATGCACTTTAAAAAAATATTATTTTACGAATTTAGTTAAAATTACTACTCTCTTTGAGATAGATTCAATCTCTGCCGGATATTTTAATATTTCTGAAGCTTTTAGTTTGTATATGTTGCCGTATTACTTTTAAGAACATCTATATAAATCAGTCAATTAATTTCTGCCTCATTAAGGAATGGACATAAGTTAAAAGAAGTAAATGGATACTGAGTTTGTAAATGTTATAATAAATGTAATAAGATATCTATACAGGAAGGTAAGCTTGATATGATCACTAGAGTATAATACTTAAAAATAACAATATTAGCTTCTCAAATGAATGATTCACGGGAATGGAGTTACATAGGTGACATTTGGAGGCCATTTTATTAATTTTTGGCACTATTTATGTACAAAAATATCATTATATTAATTACTGATTAACATATCACAACTTTATCTTATGTTCTTTTAAGACTTTTTTCTTTTAATCTATTTTATATTCATAGAAAGAGAAAATTTGAGACATAAGACTACTAAATTCGTCTTGAAGATGTAATTTGGATTTAATTTTTATTTCTAATTTCAGTTTTTTTTCGAACAATCCAGTTTCTGCTTTTAAGATACTCGAACTAGAGCTCTAACTCTACCACAATAAATGCTAGCAATACGATATTATACTCATCAAGATGGTCTTAGTCCTAATATATTTTCATGATCGTAAAATTTCACAAATAAATAAACTTAACAATATAATAACTAGATGCTTATTTTGGTCTAGTTTTCAGCATATTCCATCGTTATACCATATCGTATTTTTCTAATTTTTCAAATAAATATAATCGATGCGACTAGCATCAATAACGTTGTTGTTAATTAAACGTTCTAAACCTAACAATAAATCATAATTGCTCTCGTTCACCTCAATTTCTATTGAATTTTGCATTATGCCATTTAGCATGTTCTAGCCTATCCGTAAAATCGAACTATTTTCAGAAGCAATTACATAATTTCTAGTCCGAGTAGAACACCTTAAAGCTAACTACACAATAAAATTGCGATAATATTAGCTTTATTACCTACTATTTTAATATCCTACACTTCTATTTTACTAATCTACTGAGTGAAAAATACCAATCGTTCCTAAGAACATCCAGCCATAAATGTGTTATTTCCAGCTCTAATGAAATATTTTAAAGTTAGCAATACCATACTATGGTGATTATGATGTTAGCCTTGACTGCAGAGTACCATCTGATCATTTTTAGTAATAAATGCGTTAACACGCCTATCATAGGTAAGCTAAAATAGATTGGAATTTTGATATACAGGCACTAAAGCACTAAAATAGCTTACTAAAGGAATATGTAAGCTGATATACTCGATTGTTGCTAAGGAGAACTAGTCAAAGTTAATGACAAGTACTTACCACTGATCCTATTAGGGTCAATATGCGGTATTGACATCTTCAGTCCCTTCCTATCTACTCCTTATTATCTTTTTCAACAGCAGATAATAAAGGAGCAACTTCATTTGGTCGCAATGGCTGAACTACCAAATCTGATGAGGGCGATCCAAAACATTGCTTTAACAAATAAATTAATGGATGCTTAATGTAGGGGCAAAAATATGCATAAATGACAGGATTAATAGCACACTTGCTAATGCCCATTAACTTTGAAATTAGTCGAAGGAGATAGAATACATAGTGCTGATTAACAGTCATTCCTGCGCCATAGACATCTCTAAAATTACAAATAAATAATGGAGTCCATACGATTACATGCGTTATCATCAAGACTAAAACCATTTGAATCATTTTCTTGTGTGAATCTATCATTTCTTTCTCATCCACTGATTCTGGCTGAGAGAAATGATGCTTGGTTTTTGCGAATATTATGATCACTATAATCAATGGCAGTATGTAAAGTAAGACATATCCACAGGTATAATAGATTTGCTCCGAACGCCTTAATATAATAGTGTTATTATGGAACTGAAACTGTGGTAAAGCTAAATGACAGCTTAAACCGAGTATTGCAGTACTCGTGGATCCACTATACAGTGAAAATGGAACATAATTAAAATCTACATCTGTAAATATAATCGATGGTAATGAGAAAGCCAAAGCAATTATGGCTATAATGATGACGGTTGCCAATTTCCATTCACTTTTAACATTAGAAATGGTAACTTTTACTGCGATTTGATAACGATCAATAGCCATGGCAACAATGGTTAATGCTGAAGCTGCATTAAAATAAACCGTAAAGCCATTGCAGATATGACACAAGATTTCGCCGAAATACCAATGGTTGAAGATTTGATTGAGCTCATAGGGCCAATATAGTAAGAGAGTTAAGATGTCATAGAGTGCTAAACTAGCAAGTAAGCAGTGAAATTTATCCAAGGTTTTATATTTTCTGTTCCTGAATATAATAATCAGGACATATATATTGGCAATCCACCCTGAGGATAGAATGATAACCGAAGATATGGCTGCGGTTAATTGCATCGCTAAAAGCGATATTATAGATTGCCCCAATGAAGGCATGATGGCAACATAGGCTAAAAATAGGTCCTACTTCTGCTACTAAACTGAATAAAGTGAAGGTATGTGCGCAGTTTATATAGTAATGGTTGCAAACCTTTGAACTGTATTTTAGAACCAGTTCGCTATATTGTATCTTGTTCACACAAGCAAACTACCAGTACTAACGTATTTTCAATCTTTTATATATGTAGTATCCTGGTTCTGCTACATCAGAATTATCTAAAATTGGAATATCAACGATTATTTCTCATCTGAATTTATATTCTGGCTGACTCAGAACAATGAAGTATTTACATGCAGCACAATACTTTACGGTATTCAAAGGAACATCTTTTTAAGTCTAAGACATTAAAAATTAATAGTGGTGCGGTAAAATAAGAAATAATATAATTGATAATTAGTCATGAACACTAAATAATTAATTTCAAACTAGGTAAACATGAAACCGATTGGCAATTGGTTAGTATTGACGAATACATAAGAACAATATTCGTATGTAATATACACTGGCCTGAATGCTTTTAGTTTCATAACAACGAATCGTTTCTGTTGAAATTCTAGCAAATAAAAAGTAAGAAATTTTTAAATTAAAGTATTACAAATACATTTTGCAATTGCATAAAATTGATTAAAACAAATCAATTAATTTCCAAACCTATCGTGTAAGGTATTAATAATTAAGCATATTTTCAAACTGAAATATAGATCACTGCAATAGGAAAAATCCTAAGCCTGATCCATTTATACTGAGAAATATTTATTTAAACAGAAAAAGTAAAAAAATCTCGCATTGAAATAGTAGAAAGTATTAGATTTATTTGTCACTTTAATAACCAACACTTGATTAACAAATACCCATAAAAGTTGGTTTATTGTATTGATAAAAATAGAGGCTTAGACGATACAAATTGAATAATCTTAATTTTTGATATATTTTTAATTCATGGTTTTACCCTCCAGATTACATATCGTATCAAAAGGAAATTATCAATTAGAATATTAAATAATTGTACTAGTGTTTCTATGGAATCAATATCGTATTGTTCTCTAGCATGCTGGCACGTAGCATGAGGTATTTAAAAATTTTCTCTATCTTTAGTTAATTCACTCTATTTTTACGATGTTGTGTAGCTCTTTGCAAACTCATCATAAGGTATTTTAGTCATCATTCGATTAAAAAGATTGCAGAATTAATAATATCTCAGATTCAGTAAACTCATAATAGCTAACTGTCATTAGCTGCATAAAGCCATCAATATAACAAAGTGTAAGCTATTAGTTAAATAAATTTTTCTTTTTTTCGTATCTTATTCTCACTCAATTAATGCTATATATTTAAATACTACGATTTGCTATTCATTATTTAATGTTGTCCTATAGAGTTATATTGCATACTATAAATGGTATAATACGATAAGTAGTGTAGGCCAGTAAATGCAGGAAGTTGATCAATTAATATTGTAGTTATATATGCCATCACCTGTTCTGTTAAGATGCTGCTGCTCACATACATACGTGTGAACACATGATGGTTCCTCTTGAACTGTTTAAATAATATCATCTAATTTCCGTAGCTTGAATACGTGTGTCAAATCAGAAGCAAAACGGAAGCAGATAAGATATACAAGCGGCCAATTTTCTCGAGTATTTATTGCATATAACATTAGATTTAGCGTTCATAGCACGATTAGGACATTACAGCAGCTTATATTATAAACTCTGCTTGTATGCCGCTTTCAATATCATATCCAGGGCTGAACAAAAACTCTCAAAAGTTAATCATTGAGCTGAAAAGATACCTATTTATTTATTACAGCAGACATCATTAGTAATGGATGATTAATTCAGTAAAGCGTTTAATTACAAGTAAATCACAGTTAAAAATGTATAGAAATTTTATCCAAAGTATCAATGCACAAATGCATATTGTATCTAATTCATTCAGAAGTATAATTGATTATAAAATATTATCCTATTCATAACAAAATTAGAAATCATTAGTCTTATCTCTAATTTATTACATTTCACATATCATACACTGTAAGTCTACAGCCATAAATGACGATACTACAGTATTCGATTTATATGCAAGGCTAATTAGGAAAGTATACAATTTACTTGTGTACGTTTATATCATAGACTACACTTCTAATACCCAACTAAAGACTGGTGAAATTGTAATAATATATAAATATGAATTCTAAATTTTGGAAATTTGGGTAGGAAATCACAATGATCAGATTTGTATTATGATTACAGTATTAACTGATTGATTCTGCTTTGATAAATTATCATGATGTGACTCACTAATACGATATTTTGGAATAATACCTGACTTTACCATCCAGTAATTATGGTCTACTGCTTTAATTTTCATAATTTTCATAAGTACACAATATTTTGCCTTTATATCCGGAACAAAGCTGCATTAGCTGGCATTTTTAAAATGTCAAAAACGTCTATATTTATTCGATAGTTGCATTAGCGGTTCATAAAATGCAAATGTTCTAAAAATATTTCTTTATTAATAATATTGATTTTAAATTTTAGGTGTTATTTTCGTCTCCAGATGATGTCACAACTCACAACAATGTAATATTGTTCAAAGATTCTAAAAACGTGAAAATTTTACGTTCTACCGATCGCATTATTTATAACATATCGTAAGGCTAGTTATAGAAGTAGAAAATTTTCATAAAGCTTGGAGGCCATGTTGGGAAGAAGTTGTATCGGGATTGTTATGTTTTTATGCAATTAGTTCTCCTCCGTGAGTAAGATTTGTAACTGACTTTATTATTAAAATTTCTGAGTATTTATAGATATTCCAGCTTACACCTTTTGCCTTTTGCGTCGTTGCCTTTTACACATACATCTAATTACTAACTATTATAGCTACCGTTTACTTTACAACATATGCATATCTATAATAAATTATCAGTCCGCCTTGTACAATATAATCATGTACGGTAATACAAGCCTACATACAGGTCATCAGATTATTAGTGCTTATATAGATGATATTCTAATCATATACTTAACAATCTATGTAATAGCTTACGTAACATATATGGTAATTTCTAACACTATGTAGTAAAGGACTAAAATAGAGTCCTTTATAGCTTTTAGTATGTAACTAGTATTATTTTACTATAGAAAATACCTATGAAGTGATAGTGTCTTTAAGTTTTACCCTGCCAAATCATCATGTCGCCATCTTTTCTTCTTCATTATTTTACAAGGTATTATAGAGATTACTATAGAAATAGCCCTAGAGCAATTGCCTAATCTAAAGAAAGGGCGTTTGATAGTCTATTCAAATTATAAACGAATTTGACTTGGTAACAAAACCCTATCCATAGAGAAAGGGGATTTATAACGTGACAGTAAAGTACTGTAATGTAGTCTATAATCGTAGAATTACCGTACTGCTTGAAGCTAAAATATCAACTGTCAATACTAAGCGATACTAATGTCAGAAAAGTAGTCGTAATAGTCTTATAAAATTTCATGATAAGCGATTACTGTGATCTTTATAAAATCCGGAATTTTGGGATTCGGATTCCAGAACCGGTCGAATTTATCTGTTATAATTTATCTGTTTTAATTTATCTGTTTTAATTTATCTGTTATAATTTTTCTGTTTTAATTTTTGGATTTTAGTTTATGGAAAATATCGTAAGAGTTGATTTTTGAAATTTGAACTTTTTGTTATGAATTTCAAACTTTGGAATTTTATTACGTGACATTAGGAAAGTTTAGTTAGGAAAATAGAAAATAAGATGGAAATTGGCAGAGGTTGTGTTCATTGTTAAGTAGTTGGACTTATTTGTATGACTAAATCTTGATATTTAAAGGTTAATTTTTAGACTTTTATAATGTATTAACGATAGAAATTATGTTAGAAGTGAAGTTTGATGTATTTTATAGTTAACTTGTTGGTTTTATAGTGTTTTGTAAAGGAATCATAGGGCAAATTGTGTCTGAACTTTGAATGATTTTTGTTTTCTTAAATGGTGCAATGTAGTTTTGTAAAATGGATCTTAAGAGCGATTGGTTAATAAATGTTTAGTTTTAAATACTTCTGACGGCTCCATGAAGCCTATAAATGATAGTGTAATTACAAAATTTTAGAGGGAGAGTAGAAGAAGAATTTATTTGAAGAACTTGTAGAATTTAAAAGGCCTTCGGGGTCGAATTGTCGTAAGTTAAAACGTTCTTCTTTTTGAAAAGTTGTTTGGTTGTTGACAGTTTTTAAGTCTGTCACTTATTTTATTAATACTTAAAGCTAAGTATTTTTAAGGTTGTTCGGTTTATACTTATCTCTATTCTTTTTTTGTAATAAATTGTTGTTCGATAGTTTCCCCAAATTTTATTTGGTGTCAAATTTTCGTTAAGTCGACCGGAGTGCAACGAAAGTAGAATCAAAGTTTGTTAAAGTTTTGTAGCTTGATCTCTACACTTTTCATTTCATTACAACTATTTACAACAGGGATCAGATTCTGTATCTTTAACTAAATACAGATATTTGACTCCATTGCAGATATTTTCGCCTGATCTCTATTTTAAGCTCAGCAACAATCTCTAGCAACTTTCTTTTACAGTCATATACGCCGCTTCCTGATATCAGCGGTTGGCTCGTATAATTAATTGATTAGATATGCAGCTTTTTTAAAATTAACTTAATGATAGAGGATTTTAAATGCTGAAGTTTATTCCAACTTTACGTATTAAAAGGAAACACTTACAATCGTGAAAGAACTTTAAAACTTAATTTATATTGCAATAGTAGCTACTTTTCCGAAAAAACTACCGAGAATTTTTTACAGGATCATTTATTTACACAATTGCAAAAAGACCCATTTATCGATAGGAACTTTGAATATTGAGTTAGAATTTTAATCGCAATACAAATAAAATCTGTCACTGTTTTAGATCTGTTTGACGAATTTTCAGAAAGTTGCCATTATGCTCTGATAGACTACATTTTTTTACTATAGTTC